CGAGCCCGTGGGACTGGACGCTCCTGGAGGGGTTTCCAGCCCCCAGAGGCACCGCGTGGCCTTTGAAAACTACCCGGCAAGGCACAGCTTTAGCGGGGAGCTGCGCAGGATTTGTCCTGGGGCGTGTGGCAGTGAAAGAGCCTCTCTGTGTCTGGCAGAAGTGCATCCAGAGCCTTCTCGGTGCAGAACAAGCATCGCTGTGTGCGCAAGCGTGGGGACGGCCAGCAGTTCGGGCAGCCGCCGGCTCCTGCCGTGGGTTTCCCTGCTGCACCCGGCCGAACTATAGGTACCGAAGCCACGTCTGAGCAGAGGGGCATGGATTTGCAATTTGTGGTCATGCAGGGCAAACTAAACGCCTGGCATGGGGCAAACGGCTCCTCTGGTGTCGTAGCAGGGATGCAGGAGCGCTTTGGTACGAGGGGAGCGTGGTACCAAAGCTTTGCTGTGCGGCAGCATCGTTATTTGCACTGCAACGTCTTCTGTTTCCGTCTTTCTCCGGTTTGCCAAGTTGTGTTGCCATTGAGGTCCGGTCTTTAACTCTAGGTGGGTTTTTTTTTTTTCATTTACTTTCCCTTAACAGCAAAACCAGATTAGTAATGCACTGATGGGGGTGGGGGTTCTTTCATGGCAAGAAGCCTAAAATCCATATGGATGCCAGCAAGGCACCCATACACCATGCCTCGTGTTTGACCCTGACGAGCTCTGGCTCACAGGCGCCGTCCTGCAGGTAGCGGCTCCGCAGCCGTTCCCAGCAGGATGCCAGGACGTAATATCTCCTTTCAGAAAGCAGCGGGTGCTCGCCCTGTGCACGCTCCCTCCCTTCCTGACCATCACAGCTCGCCTCTTTTTCAGCTTGCGGAAAAATACGGCCCCATCTTCACCCTCCACTTTGGGTTCCAGAAAGTTGTGGTCCTGACCGGGTACGAAGTTGTGCGGGAGGCGCTTGTGAACTACACAGAGGAGTTTGTAGACAGACCATCCATCCCAATATTTGACCAAATTCAGAACGGAAACGGTACTAGAGCAATGAGCAGGGGTGGGGGGGAGGGACAACACTATCGCTTAGTGCCAGCCTAACTGTGCATCCCCGGAGCCCGGCTTTTAAACATCCCCCTTGGACCCTTCTGAAGCCAAGCCGACCGAAAACATTTGGCTTTCCTCGTTTGCATGCAATGCCTCCTGGCTTTTCTTCATTTTTGCTAATGCACTTGCGACCAACGCATATCCTAAACGTTCAAGGGTGAGGAGTGGGATTTTTAAAGGCACTGTTGGTAATTCTGGGGTTAATTTCCATAAGCCGTCAATGAGAGCGGCTCGCCACCATCACCGCATTTACAAACCTTCCCCACAGTTTCAGGGGACTTTGGACTAACTGGTTTGGCTGTTCGGAGCTGTAGGGTTTTTTCCCCCTTTCTCCCACTTCCAGGTGCCACAATTTTGGACATCATCAGTCCCCCACGCCTTGCCTCCCCACAAAAGCTCTTGCGTGGACCATCGTGAAACAGGTTCAGGCAGAAGCAACAGGCTGAGGCTGGAAATTCACCCTCACAAACCACCCCATAGTTTTTCCAAGGCAACTCTCCATCCCCGAGTATTTCAGAGAACTTTTTGTCTTGTTTTTCCATCCTCTGCTTCAGCTGAGGCTCTAGCTTTGAGCATCCGAAAGGCAGCTTTATATGCTGGTCACAGGCTGAAGTTGGGATTACAATTAGAAATTAAATTACCCAGCCATAATATAAATAGATGAATTTATCACTACGTAAGGAAAAGGAATCAAAGGGGAGAAAAGCATTTTTCAGAGCTAATTTACATGTAAAATATCCCTGTGGGAGACTGTCAGTATTGCACTCTAAGTCCTTTCACACTTACCTTCTTAGCCTAAGTCTGAGCCACTTAGAGGTGACTGTTAAGTAACTGGTCACAGATTTTCCCATGAAATATTTTTTCTTCAGAAAATGCCAATGTTGACTCTGAAGCTGCTTTCAGAAAAGGAATGATCCAGACGAAATTGCACGAATTAAAGAAAAATTAAAAATGAAGTTTAGAAATTTGCTTTGACATTTTTAGAGCAAGAAATTTGGCTTTCTGAATTAAAACTACACTGCTTTAACAGAGTGTTTATTCTAGAAAAAGCAAACACATTTTAAAACCTTGCAGCCAAGATGAAGATGTGAAGCGCTGGAATCCAGCTTTTCGATTGACACAATCTGAGATAGACAGACACTAATCTGACTTGGATTATTGACACAATTTTTTTTTTTTTTCACTTTTTACAACACTTAGATGGGATGAAATACCCATCCCTGCTTGGTGGTGCTAGTCATCATCAAGGCATGAGCTCAGTAACCTCCACAAGATGATAGCATTTTTGCCACTGCTGAAAATACAGTGTTGCTGGGAATCTCAGTAGAACAGTTCAGCACTGACCAGGGTTGAGGAGACTGAATTATCCCATCCCACATAGACAAAATATCTTTTTGACTGGAATAGGATGAAAGGAGAAGCTTCTAAGATATAAGGTTGTTGCTTGAGGCCTCAGACTTGCAGCCAAACAGGGTCAGAAAGGTTGCATGATTGACTTAGATCAACATCTCTCCCCAGCTCTACAGCCAATCCTGGTCTGAAAGCCATACCCGCTTATCTTGCACTCAGGAGAGGTCTGGGGCAAACTGGGTTGGGTGGGAGCTTGTTTTTCCCAAACTATAGGCTCAGTGAGACTGGGAGAATGGAGCTGAGAGGATACAGGGATGGGGCACACAGAAATGGGAGACCCTTATTCCCTAAATCCATGGGAAACTGGGCAGCAGAAACACTTGTGGAGATCCCTCCTCATCCAGTCCCCTATTTTGTTTCGTGCGGTGGGGCTCCCCTGTGCATGAGCCCAGCGGTGATGTCTTATGGCCTCCTCAGGTTTGTTCTTCTCTATCGGGGAGCTGTGGAGAACAACTCGGAGGTTCACCGTATCCAGCATGCGCAACCTCGGCATGGGGAAAAAAATGATAGAAGGGAGAATTTTTGAGGAGCTTCACTTCCTTATCGAGATGATAAAATCCTTCAAAGGTGAGCTGGAGACCATCGTGGTGCTGTGCAGCCTCATATGTGTCACTGCTGCTGCAACATCTCACTAACATTTCCATCGTCTTCCCATTGCAGGGGAACCTTTTAGCCTGACGTCCTTCAACTGTGCTCCAATCAACATCACCTTCGTCATGCTGTTTGGGGACAGGTTTGACTATAAGGACCCAACATTTCTCACTCTCTTAAGACTCATAGATGAAGTTATGATTCTTCTGGGATCTCCAAATCTGAGCGTAAGTAACCTGTTCCACAGATTAACTTTTTTTTTACACTGGCACATTACATTTGTGAGCCACACAAACCATAGGATTTAGTTCAGCAGTTTTCGAATGTTCAGAACCAACCATTACACTTAAAATGTGACAGTTCTCCACATACCACCTTGGTCACCACAAATGTGCTGCCAGATTCCCCTTTGCTACTCTCCTTTTGAACCATCATGCACGTGTGTGTGGAGCTAAAATGAGAACTGAACTATGGTCATTTTAGCTCCACAGTTTTTGGTTTTTTTTGTCTTTTTCAACATAATTGCACCATCTAGGCTTTCTTTGCCTTTGCCGCATTTTCTAAAAAGACACATTCGGTGTTGATGTCTAGGTGAGTGAGATTTCAAGATTGCATTACAAATGCTTCCTTGGAGAGTGCCAGGAAAGCTTTGCTTATCTTCAAACTATCATACCCAGTCCTTCATAACTGATGTTGGAAAAAACTAACTAGTCTCACACTGACCTAAACTGGCTAGTGGTCTGGCACGCTGAAGCCCCAACTCCATTGAGAGGCTGAGCAGGCTGTTGCTGGTAGAGGATCTGTTACCACAGAACAGCATAAATGCTTAAAATTATGTAGTACTAAATAAAGGCTCAAAGGTTGCAAAGCCTTCCCTTATGAAAATCTGCCCAGGAAGTCCCTGGGATGCTAAGATACTACTACAGGACAAAACTCAACTAATATGTCATGCCTTAGGAAGAAGCTGTTTCAGCATGCTGATATTTCTGCAGACTTAATGCCTCTCTTCTTAAATTCCTCATTAGTATTTCAATTTCTACCCGTTCCTTGGATTTCTTTTCAAAACCCACAAGATTATGCTTCGGAAAATAGAAGATGTGCGTGTCATTTTAAGGCAATACATGAAGGCAAGCAGGGAGGATATCAATGAGAACAGTGTGAGGAGCTACGTTGATGCACTGATATTCAAGCAACAAGAGGTATTTGACTGCTTATGTCTGTTGACTGTTTGCAATGTCTCCTTTGGATTTTCTAGCTAAAACAGTTGCTGAGTTTTGATTTTAGTCATGTCACGTAAACCTATTGAAATCCATGCTGTTATTCTAGCAGTATTGAAATCGGACGCTAGTCTCTTACAGTTGGTTTAATTTACTGCAGGGATTTTTATATCAAAATCAAGATATGAAAGCCACTGTGTCAGTCCACTCCTGAAATAGCAGCACTAGTAATGTGAGATCAGCTCCCTGTTCCTAGTAGAAAATGCATGAATTCACATGAAAGCTGACTCTGCCTTTCTTTCTGTGACAATTAATCATAGATACTGTTGCTCCAAGATGAATGACACACTTAAAGTATCTGGATGATAAGTCATTCAGTACAAGTCCTAGCCCTGCCCCACACCTTACTTTAGTAGAGACTTGGCAGTTTTGTACATCAGTTGATTCCATTCAACACAAAATTGTGTTGGGCTTAGAGTTTTTTCTTCTTTCCAACTGGATCTGGGCCAACCTTAGGCACTAAATATTCTACCCAGCTATGTGGAGGAAGGGTCAGTACAGTCCTAAAGCCCAGCAGAAATGGCCTGAAAGGTGATTTTGAACATTGTTGGAGGTTCAAACCTGCCCTGGGGTGGGAGGTGTCCCTCAGAGCTAGGATTAGCTGAATCTCCTTCTGTACAGAGGAGAGACCGGGCCCTTTCAAACCTGACAGGCTGAGTCAATGAACAGCATCTGGCCCTGGGCTTCAGCCTGCTTCTGGGTGGAGATGAATGCTGAACTAAAACTCCACTCCAAACCTTCCATCTTTGGTGCTCCCATCTTTGGTGGATGCTGTGTGTTCAAAATCAGGTCTGTTTTATCACCCAGTTCACAAACACAAGATTATAGTCAACAGTCGTAGGCTATGCAGTATTTTCCAAGCCTGCTGCATACTAAGACTGATGGTTTTAAGACCTTTCTGACCACTTGTGTTTTTCAAGGAGAAAAACAAGAAAGACAGCCTCTTCCATGATGACAACTTAATAGCATCCATACTCGACCTGGTCATGGCGGGAACAGAGACCATAGCCACAACGCTCCAGTGGGCCATCCTGCTGATGATGAAATACCCAGAGATTCAAAGTGAGCTCCTCTTACCTACACTCCATCTGTGGCACGGCTGATACAGGGAGGGGAGAGGCCTCGCTTCAGATCCACAGCAGCTCTTTTGCCTTGAGAGCTGAATCCCATCTCTTTATCGTTATGAACTCCTGATGTAATTAGATGCTGATCAAAGTCAAAACAAAATAGTCTCTTTGCCTTGCTAGGAGAGAGGATAAGTGGGGATCAAAGTATAATGCTGGGGAAACAACCCATCCACATGCCTGAACTAGAAATAGAGCATGGAAACCCAGGCTGGTGTTTTAAGAATCCTCTTCTTCCAGACCCTGGAAAAATACAGTTTTCCCAAAATGAAACCAAGGAGGGAGTTGGAATCATCCCTTTGTGTTTGTTCCTTCCAGAAAAGGTGCAGGAGGAGATTAGGAGAACCGTCAAAGCTGGAAGCTGGGACACATATGAGGACCGGAAGAACATCGGAAGAACATGCCATTTACAAATGCGGTGCTACATGAAGTGCAGAGGTTTATCACCCTCCTGCCCCACGTTCCCCGCTGCACTGCTGTTGACACCCACTTCAGGGGCTACTTCCTTCCCAAGGTAGGTAACTGCTCCATCCCAGGAACATGCCACCCTCCTCATTTTTGGCAGTCCCACTAGAGACCAGTTTCTTTAGAGGGAATTATAGGACAGTAGCCCAAAGTAGGTGTCCAGAATCATCCCCACAAGAGTTTCTATGTTGAGTCTATGAGACTGGTATTGTGGGACTATTGTTTCATAGTTGAGTCTGTTCAACTACACTGAGTCCAGAGAGACTGGTATTGGAGGACTCATTTCAGTCCCTCTCACGCTCAGGACTTCCTTGCGCCACAAGTGAGTCTGGTTTACCTCCTTGATGCCATCTGCACAGTGAAGTATCTGCCAGTGAATTTACAGGATCTGGCCCTCTGCTTGAGGTTTTCACAGCACCACATGGGGTTTGGCTTCAGTCCTTGTCACTGCTGGGAAAATCTCACTGACTTGTCACTACTGACTGATAGGATAAAACCCTCAGGGTCTCCACCTACCCCAGGTGGAGCAAATCTCCTGGGACACCAAAGTCTGTGTCACAAAATGAACCGAAACAGAGCACTTCTGCTATCTTTTGTGCCTTCTTGTACTTTTCTTCCAGGGTATAATTGTAATCCCGTCACTCACCTCGGTGCTCCTGGATAAGACGCAATGGGAGACACCACATCAGTTCAACCCCAACCACTTCCTTGATGCTGAAGGGAATTTTGTAAAGAGAGGGGCTTTTCTGCCCTTCTCCACAGGTAACTAATGGGCTGATCCTCACAGAGCTGAGGCTACGGTGGGACCATTTGATTACAATATACACTAACAGGGTCTCCATGGCTAAGTACCTGCCTTTAACTTGGTCAATAAGCAACCAGGCAACTGAATGGAGTCAATTATTCTGCATCCAGGCAAATGGCTGCTCTCGGAGCACACCTCTCCCACCACTGAAGGTGTGGGTTCCCAAAGGTTCAACAGGAGAGAAGACAAAGAGATATATTTCATCCAAAAGAAGGTGGAAAAATGCCTCAGAACTGTCGGGAGTAGGTGGATAATCAGACAGGACTGGTGGGGCTGCCAGCACAGCTATGCACAGGGTTCCATGAACTCTCCTGGAAGTGAGGGTACAGTCCAAGGACCCTCAAGTCCTGTCTTGAGGCAAGTCCCATGTGTGAGTGGATCTGATGGACAAGGCCTCATCCACTGCCCACCAGAGCCAAGGAAGAGAGTCCCAATAAGCTTTGCACCTTGGCTGGGTATTACAGCCAGCAGAGGCCCAATATGGGACAGAGTACACCAAAAGGTATTACTCTCACTGTGAAATCTTAAATCCAAGGCCCTGGATTGTTCCTAGACATCACCTTGGACTGTGATTCTTCCAGTGGCCCTTTTGAGAACTGCCAAGGATTCCCAGCAAGACCTGTTCTTTTAGAGGAAGAAGCAAAGCCCAGCGGCTGGGGGAGGTGATAGGACACTTGGCATCCTGACACTACCTCCAACTGTCATTTTGGTCAAGTCACAAATTTTGTCTTTTATTTTTTTAATCTCAATTTCACCTGCAAAATACAATTAACATTTTCTCCCTGAAGGCTCATAAACTCAACCCCCTGGGAGTTAAACTGACCTAATGATAGGAACAGTTGTCAGATATCAGAAACTCACCCCTGAGCCGTCCTAAAAGAATAAGTGTCACTTTGACAGTGCCTTCCCGACAGCAATAAATGCTTCCAAAGGTTGCTCATTTCCAGAAGTGCCTGCCCCGGCCCATGCCCTCCATGGCTGCGGCGGTGTGCATTACGAGAGGGCACAGCTGTATGGGTAAGTCTTGCTGGGAGTTTAACAAATCCCAACACTGCGGGAGCCCGTAAGTACTACAAAGGGAGATTTCCTGCAGAATCCTACAAATCCTCCCATGTAACCTTACTCTTCCCAGCTGTTCCTCTGAAAGGATGGCTTGAAGGAATTCCAGAACGTGCTCCAACCACAGGTCCTCAGCAGTGACTTGGATGTTAAGAAGTCAGTCCTCACTGTCCACCAAGTGCTTCAATCATACAGGGACCATCGTGCAAGGGCTGGGAATCTAGCACAAAGAGGGGGTAGGAAAGAAGAAACACAGTCTTTTCTAAAAGTGAGATGTTAGGATAAATCCACAGGAAAAGTGAGTTGCAAACCATTCGACTTTGGGAGGAGGTGGCATTTTTCTATCATGCTGCTTTTCAGAGAGAAAGGGTTAAAGATGCTGAGAGGGTTAGAAGAGCTAAGGAGAGGAGTGGGTACATCATAAATGCATAATAACCCTGTAACATGGCTGCAACTTGCTGCTGCAGGTAGCTGTGTGGCAGAGATCGGGCAGGCACACTGTGCCAGTGTGACTGGCACAGCGACCTTTAGCAACACGGGCTCCTCTACTCCAAAATGCTCTGGTGTGTTTCAAGGTTTCACTCCTGCTTCCATTATAACATCTCGGATGCTAACGTGCCCATGGCAAACATTCTAGTTTGGTCTTTCCATCAAGTAAACACACTGCTTTCATCTGCAGGGCGCAGGAACTGCATTGGAGAAAGCCTCGCCAAGATGGAGCTGTTTGTCTTCTTTGTAGGGTTGCTTCAGACATTTACATTTCAACCCCAGCCAGGAGTTTCAGAGTCTGACTTGGACCTTACCGTCCCCCAAACGACTTTCACATTAAGGCCTCGGCCTCAGGCAACCTGTGCTGTCCTGCATGAGTAACCACAGCCTTGCTGAAGAGCAACCCAACAAGTGGGGAAGCTGCTTAGACCCAACTTAGCTATGCTAGGACTCGCCATCCCCCCGTCCTGCCACATCCCCCTCTTTCACATCCCCTTCCCACTGTCTCCATCCACTCCCACTCCACTGCTCTCTACATCTGCCTCGTAGGTTGCGGACTCCCTCTTTGCTCCCGTGCTGCGAGGAGGTGCATATCATCAATTAGAAACCATGGTGGTGGCTGACAAACACATGCTTCTTCTCAAGACAGACTGTGCATGGAGCTGACGGAGGCACCAAGGAGGTGGTCTACCGAAGGGCATGCAGCCCATGAAGTAGGTGTGACACCTAGGTTCCCATGGCAAAGCAGTGAGGTTCATAATATTGCAGAGATCTGCCCAAAATCATGAGGAAAGATGCACCACCATTTGCTGGAAACCACAGAAACACACTGTGGGTCACACATTTGAACCATCCATAGGTACCTCCCGAACTTTTCCAAGCTCCCTAATTATCCATAGCTTCAAGCAAAATCCTACCAGGCTAGGCAGCCAAGCCAAACACTGAGTGTGAAAAACGAGATCGATTCCTGTGATTTGAGGACGAAGTTATTTCTGCCTTGGAACAGTGTCCTTAAAGATGCCCCAGGGTCTGCAGACCTGTTTAGATAAGCGAGTGCTGCTACCACCACGTTTAACACTGCTTCACAGTCTGAATGAAACAAGACCTACGTTTCTAAGTTTGCAGTCTAAATCATAAGGCCACGTGAGATTTGTACCAGGAACCAATCACAAAAGGCTAATGATACAGAAAAATAAACTAGACCCATTTCTAGTTTTATGCATCTCTGTCTTTCCTGACCTTGTTAAACAGGAGCAAACACTTTTCCTCTCTTCAGGCCTCCTGGTTAATATTAAGAGCCAACACCAGCAGTCAGTCTGGTATTTGGGATGGTCTGGCCACTAGAACCAGCCACGCAATTTCCTTGCAAATGGTGTCTAATTTCACAGTGCTTGTATTGCACACACACACACGCAGGAGAATTGGGATCAGGGGTTAGATGAGACACGGGTTTGGTTCTTTTCCTTCCCTCTGTAGCTTTGTCTGGCTGTTGTCACTGTCTGTAGCACTCATCTGCCATCACACTCTGCAATCTTATTCCAGTTGATGTATAGCTCAGGCAATTTTTCATCCATTTATCTGCCTGTGAATTGCCACTTCCTCACATGCATGTTCTTATCATGCACTTGACCCTATTGCTTGTTTCCCCGATCATGGGAACACAATAAAGTTTTAATCCCATGTCTTCATTGTATGTCATATGCCTGCCACTCACAAACTTTGCTTTACACGGAAATGCAAATGCCATGAAAGTTGATCCTGAGCCCAGAGTGACAATGAATATTATAATTTTACTTGTGTCTCACAGGTGACACATTCTGCATACCCTCATCCTGGTAAAAAATAGTTCAATAGGAGACCCTCCATCTCTGCAGAGTGGTTTCTCCAGGACAAAGAGCTTTCCCGTTTTTTGTGCTCAGCTATGGGTTACTAGTCAGACCTGGGGATAGCCTTGGTTTTTTGCTGTTACGTCTTCAACCCTTGCTTGCAGAGGCTGAATGAAAGGTTGCCACCACAGCTTCACTGATGCTGGTTCTGCATCTCTGCCTTGGACCCTGAACTTCTCACCTCTTGCCCTCCCAAAGCATCACCTGCTGGCAAATGAGGAGTGGTGGCAGCAGGACGGGGTCTTCTTCAGTGAAAGCAGGGAGGGGCAGGTAAAGCAACTGAGGAGCAAACCATGTATCAAGTCAGTGAAGGAAGTCTTGGCCTTGCTGAAATAAGACTTTTGCCTTTGGCTTGAGAGGGGCCAGGACTGCTCCTGTGCTAGCCCCCTCCAAAAGTAATACGAACTCAAAAGACAGATACGGCAACAACCTAGTGCTCTGGGGGACAAAACTGGGCTGGGTTCAGATCTACACAAATTCATTGGTGGAACCTCAGACCTGGCCCCTTGCCATGGGCTCTCAGGTTCTTGGCTTCAAAGGAGAGAGATGGATCCCTTCCTACATGGCGTAACAGCCTTCAGAGCCTGCGCTTTTTGGACGTCACCTTCTGCACTGGCACCCTCCGGCAGGCGGAGCAGAACCTGCGGCAGTGCTGGCTGTGTACAGAGATTCAGCAGACCGTGCAATACCCGTGCCTCAACAAGAGCCATGAGCTGCCAGGTGCAAACATCCAAGGAAAACAGCGTTTTTATTCCTTTGAAAAGTGCATCCTACTTGTGCCTGTGTTAGTAGATGGATGGAAGTGATCACTCCCCAGCAGACAGCTGAATAGATCTCCGCAAAAGAAAGTGTCTGCCTCCCATTTATTTGTTCAGCCAAACAATGGCAGAACATTGATTATGACTCAGCTACATATTTATCTGGCAGAAAACACAGGCTCTCAGGGGTGAAAATACCATTTCCACATTCCTCAGTGGCCCTGAGGGTGTTCCCTCTAGCTGCAAAACACATTTGTGCCTTGCAACACAGGGACCTGAACTGAAGGCAAACATCTCGGAGCGGGACAGGCGGCTTGATTTTT